TGTCGACCAACACTAATGTTGAATTAAATTTTGATAAAAATATATTATACTAATTCTTGACGATCATGCAGAGTTCTAAGACATCTTATTCTTACGATGAAGATGTGCTCTGTATTGATGTTTCCTTAGTAAAGTTGATTCCATTTCTTTCGTGAACTGGATATGTTTCGAAACCGTTGTGACTTCATGCAGACCTGTTTTTTACTGTATGTTTTATTTTCATTAATTGTTTTTTTTTATGTATTTTTTTGCACTTAAAAAAATATATATCTTAATAAATAATAGTTTTCTGTAATACAATTTAATAAAGAAGTATTTTATTATATTAGGACACATCTTGAATTGTATGGAAAAGATTGTGTAAACTATTATTATTCATTTATTTACAGGTTATAAAAGAGCTGTTGACTGATGTCTTGAAAATACATATACTTTGATTCTATTTCTCATATAAGATTTTTTGTTTTCAAAACTATGTCAGCTAATATGATTGAAATAAATTAATATTCATATTAACTAAAAGTTATGTTGAAAAATTCCCAGTATGGAAATATAAATACCCACTAACCACGTGATTGTGTATGATGTTTTCTTTCTGTTTAACGTTGAATAAAATGACTAAGTATATAACAGAAAGAAAAAATTCCGTGTTTTTACTCACATGTCATTTGTGTGAGTTGTCTGCTAAAAGCAACATCAACATAGACAAAGTACGATATTTTTATAACATTACATTCATCATCAATTCTTATTCTAGTAACATAATGGTCGATAACAAAATGTTAGAATTTGATCCTCGATCATATCAAGTATATTCTTGGGGTTCTTTTATATTAAATAAATCTATATTTATGTACAGATAGAAATAATGGAACAAGCTAAATCAGAAAATTTAATCATTTGTCTTCCAACTGGAAGTGGAAAAACTAATATTGCTATTATGCTTATTAAAGAACTGTCACCAATTGTTCGACTCAGTCTTGTCAATGGAGGAAAACGAACTATTATTCTTGTTAAAACTAGTAAGTCACTTTGTTTAATTATTGAAACAATTTTATTTGTTTGTTTAAGATGAGCTGGCACGACAACATGAAGATGTTATGAAGAAGCATCTCGATTTGAAAATTAAAGTTTATTGTGGTTCTCTAAATATTCTGTTACAAGATCGTGATAGATGGAATGAAGAATTTGAAAATAACCAAGTTCTAATATTTACTGTTCAAAGATTTCTTAATCTACTTGATCATAATCTTTTTTGTAAGATCCACTTATATTTCTTGAATAAACAAACTAAAATCTCTCTTTAGCTTTACATCAAATCAATCTATTAATATTTGACGAATGTCATCATGCAACAGGTGATGGCGGATATGTTACAATAATGAAAAAATATGATTCATGTCCACACTGTCCACGTATAATCGGTTTAACTGCTTCGATCAGCGGACAAAAAATTGAACCAAACAAATTACAAAAAATTGCATGTCAACTTGAAAATATTTATCAGTAAGTTCTTTGATTATTTGAACGAATTATATATATATAATCACTTTTTAGTGCACGGATTGAAACGGGTTCAAATCAAGAGGAAATAATTCAACATAGTACATCAGTTAAATCTAAATATACACGTTGTATAAATTTCAAAACATATATTAGTGAAAAAAATCGAGCAGTTTTAAATATTTTTAAAGTTTGTATTCAAATCAAACATCTTTAGTTAATCTAATTTGTTTTTTTAATAGATCGTGGAAAATCTTTCCGAAGAACTTAATAAATATTTAAAAACAAAAAAAAATCAAAATGAATCCGCAAATAACTCATTACAAATAGTTGATCAATTAAATCGAATTGAAATACAATGTCGAACTTTAGATCAATTAAAATCTCATCTTGATAATATTATTCATATTGGTTATGAACTTGGCTTATATGGACTTTACTTAGGATTAAAATCATTAACAAATTATCTTAAATCAAAACTTCCAGATATAACAATAATCGATAAAGATTTATATGTTAAAATAAGAAATCAACTTGACTCTCTAATCGAAAATTTAACTGAAGAAAATAAAAAACTTTGTAGTGCTAAAGTTATTCAATTAGAAGAGCTTATAAAAAATAATACCGATGGTCAATGTATTGTATTTGTTGATCGAGTATATACAGCCGCATTTTTATGTCAAGTTTTAAGCGAAAAATTTACAAATTCTATCAAAATTAAATATGTTGCTGGTTCAAAAGCGTACATTGATGAAACAAGTAGTTCAAATAAATATCAAGTTAGGAGATAATTTAAATAAATACTTTTATCGCTCTTTTATTATTTTTAGCGTGAAGTAATAAAAGAATTTCGTGATAAAGATATTCGTGTCTTAATATCTACCGCAATTATTGAAGAAGGTTTGAAATCAATATAATAGTTTCATATTAATTTATCTATTTCGTTTAGGTGTAGATATTCCAGAATGTAATCTTGTTATTCGTTTCAATAAACCACAAAATTTTTCATCATACATGCAATCAAAGGGACGCGCAAGAGCACGAGATGCATTATTTGTCATTTTAAGAGATGAACCGGATCTAAAAACCTTTCAAATGAATAATGACGAATATGAAAATTATGAATACATGGAAAAGGTTAGATATCAATTTTCTTCTTCATTGATGTAATATCTTATTTTTTGAAAATTCAGATGTTAAAAAAGAACTTCAAAACTGAAATTGATTCAGATCAATCATCGGATGATAATACCGATTACCTGACACCTTATTCAACTGATAAACAAGTAAAAATCGATGGTATACGTGCTGTTCAAATCATATATCAGTAAAATAAATCATTACATAATTCTACATGTTTTCAAAAACTATTCTTTAAAGATATTGTGCTGTTCTTGGTAATGGTGAAATATTATCACCACGATTTTGTACTTCAAAAACACCATGCAATACTTTTAAATGTATTTTATCAATGCCAATCAATTGTCCTATACAAAAGGATATTACGGTAAATTTTTATTTTCAAATTAAATTTTATTTTCGAAATTTCATTTGTAGTGTGTAAACAAAACTAAAAGATTATGTAAACAAGAATGTTGTTTAGAAATGGTTGAATTACTCCATAAAAATGGTAAAAAAACAATCGTTAGTATATAAAACGTCAATAGAATATTTTATTTCTTAGGTGAACTTGATGAATATTGTTTACCGATTCTACCTGAAAGATCTTTAACATTAACAGATGATGATGATGATGAACCAGAAAAAGTATCGATTGAAATATTTCCCAAACAGGTATTTATCCCTTTTTGAAATACGAATTGAATTTATTCCTATTATTTAACAGAGTTCATATTTTTTCAATGAATATGATCATTTATCAACTGATTGGTATTTGTACAGAATTAATATTTCGAATAATAAGGATCTTGGTTTTATTGTTCCTTATCAATTGATGCAAGTAAAATATATATATCTATTTTATCTAACTATTATTTATTACAATTTCTATATTAGTTACCTGTATTTACTCTATATGGACGTGATGAGGAATTCAGAATAGAAATTATTTATTTGAAAACAATTAATTTCAATCAATGTAAAGATTACTTAGGAAATTTTTGTCGATATATTTTTGAACAAGTTTTTGATAATATGAATATAGAATCAGAATCAAATCTTGAGTTTGATATTAAATCGTCTAATTTCAAACTTCTTCCATGTCTTTTGACAGGTAAGATAATTCATTTTTATTTTTCATTGGATTTTTATTTTTTTTTAAACAGAATTCGATGATATTGATTATGAACGAATGACATCAATATGTAATCGGACGAATGAGTCGATACATCATCCATCTGAATTAAATGATGATGAATTGTATTGTATTTCAGGTTTATCTGAAAAACAATTTTTTATAAATATTTCCGATCAATCTCTTTTAAAACGAGTAACAGATCAACAAGAACATAAAAAATCATTGGATACTGTAGAAAGTTACTGTGACAATTTCCAACGTCGATTTCCAGATATTGTTTTTCGAAAAGATTTCTTCATGGCTACTTTGAAAGATTTCAAAAAACCGAAAATTAATTATTTAAAAATTTCTACAACAAAAGACGACAAACAATCGACGTATAAACCAAGTTATTATCCAGTCGAAATTCTACGTTATGCTCCACTTAATCAACTAGATTTTCAATTGATTTCCAAATTGTCAAATATTTTAACTCGTATTACACAGTTATATTACATCGAGCAACTCAAACAACTTCTAATTGATAATATTCAACCTAATACAGTTAATCAAATACCAATTAATGTTAAATTTAATGATTGTCTCAAGGAGATATTTTCATCAGTAAAATTTCTGAAAAAATACTATCTGATATTTATTTTATTATATTTTCTAATAGGCCGAGTCAAACGTATTACCACTTGTTTATTTTGATTATAATGTATTATTGAAGAATAGTTGCAAAATTCAAATAACATCTGATCTATTATTTCAAGCAATCACTCGTCGTTCAGCTGATGAAAATTCTGACATGGAAAACCTTGAAATACTCGGTGATTGTTTTCTTAAATTATCTATGTCATTATCACTTTTTCATCAATATCCCATGGAAGGTGCTGGGAAATTGACATCAAAAAAAGATAAGCAAGTCTCTAATAAAAATCTCTATCAATTAGCTTTGAAAAAGAACTTACAAAATTATTTAAATGTTAGTAAACCAATTTATGGAGGTCCAGAAGCTAACTGGATACCACCTGGATATACAATAATCAATGATAATGTGACAGAAAGATATACTACACAAAAAGCTAAAGACAAAGCAATTGCCGATATGATGGAAGCTTTAATTGGTGCTTTCTTAGTATCAACTGATTATATAACAACTATAAAATTTATGGATTGGTTAGGTTTAGATGTAATTCCACAATATGAACAAAATATCAAAACACCATCAGTCCTACGTTCTGGTCTATCCGATACAATGATTGATATATCGTCAGAAATTCAAAATTTTTTTACTGACCACGCATTTGAAGAAATTGAAAACAAAATTAAATATGCTTTTAAGAATAAAGGTTATCTAATTGCAGCTTTTACGCATCCATCCTATGTGAATAATCGTCTTACCCAATGCTATGAAAGGTACTGAAAATTGAATCATTATATATATTTCATAAATTCTTTTTTATAGATTAGAATATTTGGGAGATGCTATATTAGATTTTCTAGTTATACGATGTGTTTTTGTTGATCATTACAAACATGTTACACCAAGTAAGAATTCTATTGCATATATTAAAAGAAAATTTTTTTTCTTAGAACATGTAACTGATATTCGACAAGATTTATCGAATAATGGACGCTTGTCATATATTTTTGTTTCATGTGATCTTCACAAAAAAATTCTTCATCTATCACCGTATCTTTCAAATCAAATAACATCATATGTTGAAAGCGAAACTATTTCTTCAAAAGATCAATCACTGGATGCGAAATTAGCCAAAGTATTAATAATCTCTTATGCAATATACAAATAAATATTTATAATACCTCAGGATATTGATAAATGGGCTGATTTAACAGCTCCAAAAACTTTCGCCGATGTATTCGAAGCATTAGTTGGAGCAATATTTCTTGATTCTGGATATTGTTTAGATACTGTTTGGAAGATTATTGAACCTTTACTTCGACAATATATTAGTATGTTAATACTAACGAGAGAACATATTCAACTGATTAATTTGTTTTGTTTTTAAATAGATCAATCTGTTAAGCATCCAAATTTAAGTCCAATACGATCATATTTTGAAAATGGTGGAAAACCTTTTGTTATTGAGTTAGTCTTTTTTAATTTTTACTATTCATAATTACATACATATATATACTATTTATAGAAAACCAAAGGATGGCCAAGGAAATTTCACTTGTAAAGCTAAATTACCAGATAAATCAGAGGTAACAGGTTATGGAAAAAGTACAAGACTAGCAAAATACGATGCATGTCGAAAAGCAATGACGTCTGTTGAATGATACTTTGTTTTTCTTATCTGTTTATCAGATGTCTGACTTTTTTTGTTGATGATATATTATAAAAGCAAAAAAGAAAATATTTTTGTGTGTAAATATAAGATTTGAAATGTCGATTAGAAAACAGTTGTTTAAATTATGTGATGAATTATTTGAAAAAAAAGATGAAAATACAAAAGAAATATTTCCAAAAAAGGTTTTTTTTGTTTCATTTTTATTTAAATAAACTTTTTTGTATTTCATTATTATTAGAATGCTTTATTATTTGGAAAAAAAGATATATTTACAAGTATCTGGTATCTCTATCAGATACATATTCATTCAAGAACAGAAAATAATGTTGAACTAGGTTTTATTGTCCCATCGGAATTAATTGAAGTAAAAAATTATTTTATCTTAAATTCGATCTATTGTTTTTCTTCAGTTACCGATGTTTCATGATGGATTATTAACAATAAAAATTATATTTATCAAAAAAATTAATTATTTAGAAAAAAGATCTTTATTTGAACAATTTTCTAAACATATTTTCGAGAATGTTTTTGAATATACATTATTTGATTTTAATATTCAATCTTCAACTTTCAAATTACTTCCATGTTTATTAACAAGTAAATATAATTATTTTTATTTTCAAGAAAAATTCACCTCATAATTAATATAATCGAACGAGAGACTTAAGCTAATTTGAGGGTGGGTGTATACTTCATTCTCCGTTTGCACCCACACCCTTTTTCTCTAATCTTGTTTCAGGTTATAGAGAAATTGATTTTAATCGAATGTTAAATATTTGTCATCGTCAGAATAAATCTATTGAACATCCATCATATTTATCCGATACTGAATTATATGCTGTTTGGTATCTGGAAACAAAACCTCTTGTTTGTTATTTATCCAATATATCTCAAACAAAACGAGCATCAGATCGTAAGACTAATACACAAACATATGCTGATTATTACCAAGGAATAATTCCTAATGTTCATATTGAAAAAGATATTCTTATGGGTACAATGAAAGTAATCAATAAAATAAAAATATCATTAAATATTCAAGAAAATCTTATTAAATCATCAGAACAAAGAATTTACTATTATCCAATTGAACTTTTACATTATGCTCCATTGAATCAAAAAGATTTTCAATTGATTTCGAGATTACCACCCCTTCTAGTTCGAATAGTACAACTATATCATCTCGAACGTCTAAGAAAATTATTTACCGAAAATCTTAAATGTTATTCCGTAAGATAAAGTTTCATTATTTTACTCATTTAATTAAATTTATATTATAGTTTATAAAATCAAATGAAGTTAATTTCAAAGATTGTTTAGAAGATTATATGCAAATAGTAAGTTGAAAAATTTCTGAATAATACTTATTGTTAATGTATTATTTTTTGGTTTCACTTAATTATTTGAGTTATGATTTTTCTAATATAAAAAATCATTTAAATCATGAACAACCATCAATTAATATACTTTTTCAAGCAATAACTCGACGTTCAGCTAATGAAAATACTGATATGGAATGTTTAGAAGTTTTAGGGGATTGTTTTTTAAAATTAGCCGTATCAATGTCATTATATTATCGTTATCCCATCGCGAACGCTGGCATATTAACAATAGAAAAGGCAAAAGAAATTTCAAATGAGAATCTTTATCGATTAGCAGTAGAAAATAAATTAAAAAATTATTTATATTGTGAAAAAATAATTTTTCAAGGTAAAGATTCAAATTGGCTACCACCTGGTTATATTGTTAAAAGTAATAATAATGAAAAAAAATTTACACATCAAATAATAAAACGTAAAGCATTTGCTGATAAGATTGAGGCATTAATTGGAGCTTTTTTAATGTCAAGTAATTTTATTACGACAATTAAATTCATGCATTGGCTTCAACTCGATGTTATTCCATTAGATCAGAATAGTAAAATTATTTCGAAGAAATAATTATTGTAGACTTTTGTTTTTCTTCTTACAGATCATATTATGTCAATACCACCAATAATAGCTTCTGAATTGGATGATGAGATCAAACAAATTTATCATAATGAAGGATTTAAAGAAATTGAAATTAAACTTAATTATGTTTTCCAAAATAAAGCATATCTTATTACAGCTTTTACCCATTCATCGAAATCTAAACATTGTATTGTGAATTCATATGAACGGTATTATATTATTAAGATTCGATATTTTTTATTTTTCTAAAAATTATTTAACTTTAGACTAGAATTTTTTGGCGATGCTCTTCTTGATTTTCTCGTTATACGTTATATATTTCTCAATTATGATAGAAATACTACACCAGGTAGAATTTATACGTAATTTTTGTTATATTCATTAACAGGAATTGATTAGGTCGAGTAACTGATATTAGACAAAACCTATCAAATAATAATCATCTAGCATATATACTAGTTTCATTTAATCTTCATACAAAAATTCGTTATAATTCAAATGAAATTTCAAAACATATTCAATCTTATGTAAACAATACAAATATTCATCATAGTACTAATTCGCCAGTACCAAAGATCCTAGCTGATGTATTTGAAGCACTTATAGCTGCGATCTTCTTTGATGCGAATAACTCATTAGAATTTGTATGGAAAATTATTGAACCATTTCTTGGAGAAATTCTTGGTATAATATATTCACAATATTCATTAATAATATTCTTTTTATAATTTCTAGATCGATCTATTGTAAATCCTAGTTTAAATCCGATGAGAAGATTTTCTGATAAAGGTGGTAAAATCATCCAGTAAGTTAGAATATAAAATAATTGAATTTATTTAGTATAATTTTTAGAGAATTCACAGATGAAACTGAATCTATTTGTCTCGTACAAATGCCTAATGGCACTTATTATGAAGGTCGTGGAAAGAATAAAAAACTTGCTAAATCTGATGCTTGTCAACAAGCATTAAATCATAAAGATTGAAATAATAATAAATCAATATAAACTTTCCTTCTTTTTGTTTTAATCTATCTATTAACATTTCATATATCGTTTTGTTATTCTATTATAGTTTAGTTCTCGATTAATCAAATAATTTGAGCTAACATATATTTGTTTCATTCGTTCTTTTTTCTTCTCTCGATCCAATTGTTTTTTTGTTAATAATAAATGACACAATGCGTTGGTGTCAAGCAATTATTCTTACCCAGCAAATATGAACATATGTTATTTATACATAATAAAAAATGATTTGTTATTGATGTAATAAATTTTAAATCTTCAGAACGAAAACTAATATTTTTATTTGATTAATTATTTTACCAGCTGCATGTCTTTCAACTCATGGTCAATAACAAATGTATGATTCTTATTCTTTTGTTTAGATATTATCATCATTAGGCAGTTTCTTGTCTTTAAATAGATATTTATAACAGTATTTTAAAAGTATATGTAAGTGTAGGAAGATCTTTATAGAAAAGTTCTAATCAAAATTCATATTTAATGTTTTAGTATGCCTCATGGATCTGATATCAATACTTCGTTATAAATTAAATCAACTAATACAGTTAAAAACCATTTGCTATTATTAACAGATTAGAACGATCGATGGATCATTTTATTGATAAACGAACATTTGGTACAACAGATAGTATGTATGCCTGGATGAAACATTATAAGCTGAATTAGTGTACATGCTTACTAGTCGTCAATCATTTTTATCTAAAATATATTGTTCGAACCAATCGACCTCATTATTGGATATTTCATTACAAATTGCAATTATATCTTTATCAAATAAACTCTAGTAAAGTTAAAATTAGCATTTAGTTGATATAAATATCCTATTGAAATCGCAGTTTTATAAACACTTGTTATACCGGAAGGAATTAATTCATTTCAAATGAATAAACAATGTAATTATAGTATACGACTGAATAGTCAGATAAACATTATTTTGTTTCTGTTCTTAAATATTATTAATTTTATTTGAATAAAAAAGAAAAATGTAGTTTTTTCTCATTCAAACAAATGAAAATATTCATAAAAATTTTTATTCCAATTTCAATAATTGACGTAGTCGTTGTTGAAGCATACTCTAGAAGAAGAAAAACAAAATTTACAAAAAAACGAATAATTTCTAGAAAATAGTCTTTAATCTACCACATGCATCTTTTCTAAAAGTAAATTGTTAATTAAATTTTTTTCATCTTCTGTAAATGTTATTGTTTCATGTTCATTTGTATTGAAATCTGGTGCTATGGAAGATGTTAATAATTCACGTTTACCCCAATTACCTAAATTTATTTTTCTAAATTTAAACAAAATATTCTTTCAATATGTAGGAGAAATTTACCACCAAAACATGAATGGCCAAACTGTCCGCAAAGGCTACTTAAAGCAAGCGATTGGACAGGACGAGTTGATTGAAATAGAAGTATAATGAGAAGAAAGTATGAGAAACAAATAGGAATTATATTAGCGGACAGTCGACTCATGATCAGCCTAGTATTGAAGCTTATACTGAAATAATCTGAAAATATAAAAACTAAAATAGTAATAGAACATTCATGTTGACTGACATGTTTTTAATCAATATCTGAATATAAAAGTGAGCTCCTCATTTAGAAAGCAATAGAGAAAGAATTCATCCCTATACACTTCTCTCTCACGAGACACGCAAATTTGTCAAACTAGAACGAGTGTATATAACACAAAATCTTATTAAGCTTTGTATAACCTGACTATATGGCAAGACATGTATATTTGTTTCTATAAATAACGAACACGGAAAATATTTTCTTATTAATCCTGTACTTAAGTAGCTAGTTGATTTAATGTTTCAATCATTTTCAACAAAAACTGTGTTTCAGTACTATGTAATTTGCCTAAGAAAATGAATCTATTGATAATAAATGAATAGAAAAATATGAATACTTATTAGCTTCGTATTCTCTATTGTAAGAGAACAAATAAAAGAAAAAGCTATGATCATTGTTACTTGTACTTAAATGAAAAAAAAGAATTGGGCTATATATTTTTTAATTGGGAATTGAAACAAAACGTCTTATATATATATACGATCAATAATTGATCACACACACATATATATATATACTAATGATTATTCTTATTAAGATATTTAAGACAAAAGAGTGTATATATGAAACTAATTATACTTTATATAGAATCGATATAATTGAAATGTTGATCTTGTGATATAGCGCCATCTATCGAAAATGTCAAATTTTATTTAAACGAAACTTTGATTATGATTTATAATGCAACTTAATTTAAAACTTAAAATAAAATATGTTTGGAAATGTAAATCCGGACTTGAATTAACCAATAATTGAGATGAAAGAATATGGAAGGAACAGCAGAAGGAGAAGAAAAAGAACTAGAATTATATAGCTGTTGCAGTCATTATGCTTCATCATAATTTACTGTTTCTGGTATATTGGTATCGTATACAGAGATAGAGATCCATAACAGATTTCGATAAAAATCTACATTAGAATGATAACAGCTATATTATTCGCATTTTATATTATTTCGTTAACTTTGATAATAAGTTCCGCCATCATCATCATCATCTTATATTCATAGTTATATAATAAATTATAATACGATTTGGTTTTAAATAGATTCGATGCGTTTAAAACTATCATAGATATTTTAATATAACAATATCAAACACATTTTTTATTTTTATCTAATCCATTTAAGACCTTTCTTCGTTTATATAGTTTTCTTTTTGTTTTTCTCTCCTTAATGTCAATCTAATTGATTTATATTGCTTGTATTTTCAATGAGTGCTAATTGAAAAAAAAACAAAACAATAATAGGCCTATAAAATAGAAATTATATCAATGATGTTGCTGTAGATATGCTTGAAAGATAAATCTGTTCTTTATTTTTGTTAATGCACTTTCACTTAAGTTTTATTTTTGCTTCGTTTTTTTTTGTATTACGATGTTAGATGTATCTGTATTTATGTGTGTTTTATGCCAGTGCCATCCAATATCGTTTTTGCGGCTACAGCAAACAGAAAGAGGAGAAGAGGAGCAAAACAGACTACTGGCATTACAGAGCGCGACACAACGTTCTTTTGTCCACAATTAGAAAAAGAAAAGAAGAGTAAAAAGAGGAAAAAGAAAGAACCAAATGAAGGCAATAAGAACGAGCAAAGCCTGACAAACATATTGCACCAAAAACTCACCGGTTTTTACGCTTTCTCTCTCTCTCTCTCACTCTCGCTTAAGTTGTCATTGCAACCAACCATATCGATGCTTTGAGCTATTAGGATAGTTGTACTACACTGTTATATTACTCATTTCTTTTCCTCTTAACATACAGAAAATGCATTTACACGAGAAATAAGAGAAAAACAATCGATAAAGTGGAAGAAAAAAGCTTGCTCATTGAACAAATATATATACCATTAACACAATGCTTCTTTGTAATTTTCTTCTTTTCCGATATTTATATAAAGTTTTATTTACATCTGTTAGTTTCATTTAGATGATTGTCAGTGTTAGCTGAATGAAAGATGTTAAGAGTATAAGTGTCTTGACAACGACTCGGTAACGACCTGTTATGACATTTAAAATAAAAAAAAATCATTTCGTTCTTGCTTATACTTGAGCAAATAAATCTTTCTTTCTATTCTGTCTTTCATTTTTTTTTCTTTTCAGACTAAAGTCCGATCACCAAAAAAAAATGGCTGCATCGGTGTTTTTGTTATTCCTTTTCTATCAAAACTCAATTTAATACACTTCATACTTCATATTTTTTTTTATTCATCCATTTTCAACTAACATATGTGCCTTTCATCACAAACTGTTGTTTGTTCTTGTTCGACGTCGTCAATGGGTATGTAACAAAAAATTTCAAAATTTTTTTTTTGTTCCGAATAAAAAGAATATTCTCTTTTTTCTTATTCACGTTTTTAGCTTCATCATTAACAACAACAGCGAAAGACAATTTAATACCTAATAATATTGAAACAGATTTTTCTACTGAAGATATACTTGTCGATAAAAACTCTATGCCTGAAGATGATCCTAATGGTAACACTTTACATGATGCTCATGAAATACGTTGGGGACCTCAACATGCCGGTGCAAAATTACTCGCCAGTCAATATACGAACGGTAGAATAAAATCTCATTTTGATTTAATAAGAAAAAAACCTTGAATAGAAGAAGAAGAAAAAACGTATAATACTAGTAACTAAGCATGACTTCATCAAGTATATACTTCAAATGAATACAGTAGATGATTATTATATATTGATCGAATAGATTCATATATATATTTATTTTTAATTTCGAAAAAAACTAATCATCAGTTTACTCTAGTTATTTGATAGGATTTATTACTGTTCTCTAGTTTCAGTTTTATATTTACAGTCTTTCGAAAAAAACATATTTTTATACGAGCATAATAAAAAACATGTTATTTAGAATATCAATCGATTTTATTCAAGCAAAAAATGAATTAACTTTAGTTTATTTTATTTTTTTTTGAATGAATACACTTAAGACTATTAGTTAACAGGCTTTTCATCTGTCGTGACAAAACATTTATGTTTATAATGAATATAATTATAATCAATATTAGTGTTAAGTTTAACTTAGAAACACTCTAGATTGTTTTAGTTTATTTCATAGTCTAATTATACTACCAGTAGTTTTTTTTTCTTCTTCTTATTCTTATTCCGATTGCCTTTGGGCATGTCTTATTATTCAAAGAAGATTTCCGTTAGATTTTAATAAGAAAACTAATGCATATTATGATCTCTTATCTAAAAATGCTATTCTTATTATTATTTAGAGAAACGTTTACAAGAATTAATCTCAATTCTATTATGTATTATATTAATGATGTACAATTTTTTCTTTATCTGCCGTTATTTCGATGTTAGAAATTCGTATCTCATCATTCCTGCAGCCTGTATGTTGACTTAATTTAAATTAAAAATAAACTTTTATTTTTCTTTCTTTCTTCTCTATACTATTTAATAGTATTAGGAATTTTAACAGCTGATTTAGCATCAGGTATTGTACATTGGGGTGCTGATACATGGGGTTCAGTGGATATGCCATTTATTGGAAGAAATTTTTTACGTCCATTTCGAGAACATCATATTGATCCAACATCCATCACACGTCATGATTTTGTTGAAACAAATGGTGACAATTTTGCAGTTACTGTTCCATATCTTTTATATATGGCTTATAAATTTACATACTTATCTGATACTGATATAAGACGTACATATAACTTTGAAGTTTATATGTTTCTTCTTGCTATTTTTGTTTCTATGACAAATCAGGTACGTGAAAAAGAAAACAAAAAGTCATCTATACTTTTAATTGTTTTTTTTTCTTCTCCTCTCATCTTTAATTGCAAATTGTTGTTTAGTTCCATAAATGGTCACATACTTATTTTGGTCTACCTTCCTATATTGTTTTCTTACAAAATTATCATGTTATTCTTCCTCGAAAACATCATCGGTTACATCATGGTATGCTTGAATGTTTTCTTTTTTTGTTACTTTGTTAACTATGATTGTTTTTGTTTATTTTAGTTGTACCCCATGACACATATTTTTGTAGTACGTAATTTAATATTTCAAATAGAAAATGAAATAAAATTTATTTTTCTTTTAGTTACAACTGGATGGCTTAATTGGCCACTTGAAATGATTAAATTTTGGTCGTTGCTGGAAATAATTGTAGAAAAATATACTGCAGCCAAACCTCGTTCAGATGATTTTGCTTGGGCGCAAAAGACAGAACAAGTTCATTATGAATAAAAATCTCTCTTCTCATTTATCTCTATGGCCATGGAAGGAAGTGCGATTATCATATTCTTTTGTTTTTTGTTACAATTTTCTTAAGTTTGTTTTGATCTACTCTGTTTGCATTATGATTTTTTTTCTTTACAGCTTTTTTTTCTTTATCTTATCCTTAAATCCTCGAAACTCTCTTTTTTTGCATCTGTGATGACTATCTGTGTGTAAAAGAATGAACAAAGAAACATCAGAAATTATTTATACTGTCATGGTATATATAGTTTACTCTATCTTGTACGCATTTTTATGTATGTCATTTTTTCATATTTTGAAAAAACGACGAAAAAAAACAAATCCTATTTAAAAGCACACGATTGTCAGATAATCGTAGGAAAAAAAACACTAAATAACTCATCCGGATCTCTAATCCCGGTACTCATTCTTTCGTTTTTTTCATTGTTACTCTTTTTTTTTGAAAAGAAAATAAACAAAATATAAAAAGATTTGAAAAAAAAAATATTATATCGACTCTTTGGCATTATATACTAATTAGTAAATAGTTTATTAAATAAACTTGATATATAATCTTAAGATATATACTCTAGAGATTTTGAATTACATATTGTAATTATTTTCTAATTAATATAAAGTTATAACGTAAAGAAACGGATAGTTTCGAAAGATAATCTTATGAAGGTGATAATACTTATGATGTAATTTGATCTAATGAAAAAGTACATCGAAAGACATGATTAATTGAATGACAATATAATATATATTTATCAAAATATTGACATTTATTTTTATTTTTTCAATCGGAAATAAAATGATTATTTCAAATTCATTTAATAATAGATGATAAAGATTATTTTTGTAATTTCTAATGTAAACTGTGTGAACATATTTTTATATAGAAAAAGATCAATCATTATCGTAGATTTCTTGTATTCTACAGATTTGTCAATAAGTAATAAAGGTTCATCTGAAACATTAGGTACAATAGTAAAATAATACTTTTTTTCATTCATTACAATATCTTATTTCAAAACATTGCAGTTTTTAAGAGCAATTTTTATTCATCCATTTGATACCATCAAATTAATTCAACTGAATATGACATTCTTTAGTTAATATTAAAGTAAAATAAAAATGATTTTATATGATAATACGCTTTTCAAAAGAGCTGTTTGTCATGGAATGATTTTTATCATCTTCCATTTGAATAGAATCTTTTCATATTGAAATAAAATCACTAATCAAATCAATTAAAATTTTCATCTTATAATCTTTAGATATGAATCAACAATTTCTTCATCAACTCCATAAGCGATTATATTGATAATCTCATATTTAATACAATATCATACAAAAATAGTCTTTCATCATTATTATTAATCTCCGGTCTACACTTCAATGTAGTCTATATACATTACCAACAACTAATCTGGATTAAAATATAGAAAAAACGGAGAGAGAGAGA